TTTTTTTCCTGTTATCCTTTATTGTATTTATACCCCATTATCAGGTGAGAAAAAAATAAAAAAAAAGTGAATATTCAGAGAATGTAGCTAATAAATTAACATTTTGTCTAGAGAAAATGAATTTGCTATGTTCATCTTCATCACAATCAACAACCAACCATACATAATCTCTTCAAAAGGGAAAATTAAAAAACCATGAATATTGCAGACATAATGTTTCCATAGCATTCAAAAATTTTGACTATTGAGCAACATCTGTTTTTCCATTCTCCTCTATCCTGTCTTTGGTTCTCAAGACTGCACTTTTATGAAATAAAAGGTTGAGCTGATCTGCAAAAAGCAGACTCTTCATTCGCTCTATTTGGTGCCATTCTTTCTCCATCTGCAAATCAAACTCCTCAAAGCGAAGAATCTTATCTTGGATCTCTTTCATCTACAAAAGGCATGATGTTCAGCACATAATTTTACAAAGTTCAACCTCATGGACCTTAACGATACTCATTTTTTATTTACACACACCTGGACTTGTATGATTCCTGAAATTTTTCTTTCCATATCCTGCTCTTCCTTCTCGATAACTGCATTAGCATCTTCATTAACTTTTTCTAGTGTGTCTTGGTTGGTCTCACCATTAGATGCAGCATCAACTTCTGTTCCAGAAAGAAATAAAATAAAGCCTCTGCCAAGTGCCAATTTTAATGACAGACCATTCCAGTCCAACAGTTTGAGTGTTGGACACATGGTTGACCTACTTAGGAAGATTTTTAGTTCCATCCTTCTTAAATTGAGTATCCAACTTTCCATTTTAGATATCGAAGTACGATGGCACAAAAAAATAAAATAAAATAAAATAAAAAGAAGGAAGAAGAAGAAGAATATGAGAAAAAAGAAAAATAAAAAGACATCAAAAAATGAATATTCATATCTTCCAATTCCACAATTATTATTGCTAGTTGCTCGAATGATTAAAATTGCATATTAAAAACAAAAGGTACCCAAAGACAGTGCTAACTTTTTTGAAAGGAATTAACTCAGATTGAGTTATTTCATAGTGATTGTTGTATTAAGCCAATAGAAGACAAATCCATTTCCCAAGTATTAAACCATTTTCAGATGAAATGTGAATGTCATTTAAACCAAAATTGATGTACGCCACGCAGCACAGATTAAAACTGGAAGCCACGGTTTTAGTTACCCAAGTATTAAACCTAATTGCATGAGATAGGCTTTAATGAAAGGGCAAATATACCTTGTTTTGCATTTCTGCAAAGAGATCTATCATTCCATTTACTTCCTCTATTCTCCTCCTCAAACAAAGTTGCCACAGCTGCTCGAGCAGCGGCTTCCGCAATACCCTCACCCGCTATAGCTGACAGAAAAGCAGCCTGAGAAAGAATTCCAAGAGACACTTATGATCACTAGGAAAAAAATTATTCACTTTAAATGACTAATGTTCACAAAACATTAGAAAAATATTTTAAGATCAAAATTATTATTTACACTTTAGGGTCTCTTAAACACAAAGCAAAAGAGATTAAGCATCTATTTCCCTTCAACAATGGGTGTTTGGGTGTATATTTATAATAACCACAAAATTTATGGTGTTGCCATCAGTATTTTATTGTCTTAAATCCTAATACCTTGTTATTAAGTACCCAAATTCTTTGTGAAATTATACAGGGTATCCACACTATTATAATTGAGAGTAAAAAGGGACAGCCAACTCGGACAGTCATGCAAATAAGTTCACGATGGCAATTAAGATATTAGCTACAATTAAACCAGCTCAAACAACAGTTCTAGCTTCCTAAGAGTTCTATTCATCAATGTTAAATTGGTTAACTTGTTTCAAAACTTAAGATGCATTCCACTTGAGTCAAAATCCTGTCTTGAAACAAAATATTTGCAGTCTAAGAACCCCCACCCCCTATTTCTCCATTCTCTGCCTTTTTATTCCCCCAATTTCAAACTATTAATAAGAAGTATTACCTGAGCCATTATTGGGTTGCTTGCATCAGCAAGAGGTGTGAGCCGCATTCTTTTATTACTTTCAGATCCATATTCACCATCATTTGAGTCTGGATAGCCAACAAATTCCTCCCCAAAGGGAAGCTTAATAAAGTGAGTGATGCAATCTTTCTCACTTCTACCACCGACATGTTGTGCAACTCTCTTCCAGTCATCACCATTATGCATAATAGCTTCTAGTAGCTGCAAAGTGTCTTTTTCGGTCCAATCTGTCTTTATCTCTTCACTGATCTCTACCCGCCTGAAATCTGCATTACTAACACCAACTCTGTAGTTCCCCCGAACATAGCATCGAGCACAAAGAGTCAGGTCATACTGCACAACAAAGAGATTGAAATCAATTCCAAGTGTTCGAACTATCAAGTTTTTGGTAACAGGTAAGGGTTGTCAACATGTAATATAAATGCAAGCAGTATATGGAATCTAAGTAGTTTTGTCAAATTCTTGCTTGAAATTCAATGTGTTTATTTTCATTAGTCCTTACAAACATCCAAATTGCAGCCAAGCAAATTCTTTTTGAAATCATTGTAACAATCTGAAAGTTTTCAGGCTTCATTTAAGCTTCTAAAAACATACCTTGTCGCAAGCAAAGCAAGCAATGGAGCAAACAGACTTGCAACCGCTACACAATTTCCTAACAGTCTCTTTAGGTTGAGCCTGAGCATGAGCATGAGCATGAGCATGAGCAGAAGATTCAAGTGAAGCCCCATCCCCGCTGGACTTGCCCTCTTTACTATCTTCCCACGACAAGGGCCTGGTTGCAGGAGAGGTGGAGTAATTGATGAGCCCCCACATCTCCAAGAAATCGAAAACCCTTCGAACCGAAAGCACATCACCCACCAAAGTCTTCCTGACCTCTGTGAATGTGATCTTTCTCGCAGGATTCTCCCGGAATTGCTTAATTATAGAGTTCCTATAGTACTTGTAGACCCTAGGGTTCTTGGATGGTGAGCGAGAATCAAAGAATTCCGGAAGGAAGCGAATCTCACATTCGTCTATGTTTTCCCAGGAAAACCACCCTACAAACAACAACCAAAAGAAATTAATGAAGGTAAAAACATCTGTGTCAAAAGCCTCAAAAGGGTTATTCTTTGGAAACTTACTGGAGTAGCTTGGGACGTGAACGACGCCAGCATCCGGCGAGGGGTGAAGTAACGAGGGACGGGGAGTTGCAGCGGGGGTAGAATTGGCGGCGGTGGTTGGGGAAATTTCGGGCTTGACTGGAGGAGTAGTGGGATTGGGGGAGGAAAATTTGAGTTGGGTATCGGAGGACTGTGCCGGCACCGGAGTCGGAGGTTCTTTGAGCGGCGATTTTGCTGCCATGGTCGCCGTGGACTTACGACTGAATCGTTGCGCAGAGGAGAGATTTGGGCAGAGGAGAGTTAGAAACGGGTCGGTTTTCGTGATAATATGGACCCTTAAGGTGGGCTTTGATTAATGGGCCCTGGCCGTGCTTAGTATTTTATTTTTTTTTTAATTTAATCAATAGTATGTTTGGATTATTTAATAGCATAACTCAACAGTCAAAAATTTAAAATATTAAATTGGAGATATCAAATTTAAATTTTAAATTGAATAAGAAGAAATTTGAGAATAAAAAAATGTTATTCTTTCTTATATAATTTATAATCAAATGTATAAAAAAAATAATATTTTTGGGTTAAAAAAATATAAGTATAAGGAGAGGAATGGAAAGTATTTTAATTAATAAATTATAAAGTTATTTTTAAAATTTTATAATTTAATTAATTTAAAAAACTTTTTCTTCCCCTCTCCTCTCCCTCCTCCCCTCTCATACTCTTTGTTTTTTTAAATCCAAATATAAAGTAAGCGAAAAAAGAAAATCAATACTTCTTAGCATTTAAAATACAAAGACGTTTAATTGCAGTCATTAAGTATATGAAATATAATGTAAAATTTAATTTTATCAAGTTTATCATATAATAATGGTTAAATGCTAATTTTGGTCCCGTTAATTTTGGTCCCTCAACTTTATAGAGTTGCACTTATTTGGTCCCTTGACTATTTTTTACACTTTTTTAATTCCTCAACTCTAGAGATGCACAATTTTTGTCTTTCCATCAGTTTTAACCATTAAGTCCGTCCACGTGATATTTTTTATATTTTTTTTAATAACGTGACAAATTAAAGTAAAACAAAATGCTTATATGGACAAAAAGTTATCAAAGTAAAATTCCACCTCAACTAAACCATTAACCCCAACTTTTAATTCATTCATTAGACTATAATTACTTATTTTAATCAAAATTAAGACTCCAATTAATTTCTAATTAAATCAAAATTTTCTAAACAAATTTTCTCAACAACCATGACAATTTTCTCGCCAACCAAACACCATTAATGCAATACTTATTCCAAAACACTGATTAAAACCATTTTCTCAGTATCCAAACGCCCAAACTGTACAATTTTCTAGCTAAGCAAATGGAAACCCAATGAAAATTGCTTCTTTGCCCATCGATCACTGATTATGTTCTTTCCAACACCAGCGATGTTCTTTCTATTTTGAACATTAAAATCATTTAGACAATAGTTAGGAAATATAAAACAAAAGGATCCCAAAAATCCTTTACAACCTGCAATTTGCATAAACTCAATTACTCATTTGCAACAAATAATCCAAATGCTCGATTCCGTCAAATGTAAATTTGCTAGGTTCACTGGGTTCCGTCAAACTCAGATCTGCTGGGTTCACACAGAGGAAGAAAGAAGGGTAAGAAAGAAGGGGAAGACAGAAGGGGAAGAAAGGAAGAAGATGGATTGAAAGAGGGAGACAAGTGTATTAAGGTAACTTTATATATTTTTTTTATTAAAAATATAAATGCTAATCTAATTTCACATCTGAATTGACATTTGTTTTTATACATATAATCAAATTGTATGATGTGTTATTGCCATGTCATAAAAAAATTTAAAGAAAATGCTACCGTGGAATTTTTAACTGCCATGTCATACATAACTAACGAAGGGATCAAAATTATGCAACATTTAGAGTTGAGGGATCAAAAAGTGCAAAAAATAGTAGAGGAACCAAAAAAAGTGCAACTCTATAAAGTTGAGGGATTAAAATTAGCATTTAACCTATAATAATTATTAGGCGTCTTCACATTTTAAATATTAAAATATTTTAATTTTCTCTTTTCTCATTTAATTAATTAATTTATGAACAAGAATATTCTCTATTTGCTTGTTCTCCCTCTAATCAAATATATCAGCTATGAATTTTTGTGGAACACTTGGTGAGCCACTTGTAAATGGTGTTACACATGTAACATGGAAGCTAGGGTCATTTTTCTTGAGGGTGGTTTCGTAGAATCTTCTACAATGCCCTATAATTGTACGTAAGTGCTTGTTGGCATTTGTTACGAATTAATTATTTAGAGAATCCTTAAATTTGTCAAACTCTGGAATATTCATAGTTTATTATTACATGGGACAAACTATCATACATAAGCTTGACCCTATATAAAACGGAAGGCTTCTTCATTCTTAAATAATAAGTAGAGAACCAATAGTAGAAGCAAGACTTGGCATTCTTCAAACTTTTTGGCCGTAAACAAAGTTATGATGTATAAGCATTTAATTTTTATTTGCTTTCTAACCCAATAATTATGACAAATGGCAGATGCAGCTTTAGCTGCGTTGGTTGGTTGCGTCATTCACCTCGGATAATTCCAGAATTCGAGTCTTGGAATGTAATTTCCTCTTGTTAAAAAAAATAATTAACAATCATAACAAATAGAATTGTTCGAATTAATTGTGAGGGTTATTAGGTGCTCATACCTTCCCCTTGTGATATTGTGATGGTTGGACAAAATATTCTGAACATCAAGAAATCAAAAGTTATAAAGAGGAAAGAGCTACAGAAATTGTATTGTAAAAAGAGTTGAAAGAGATTCAGCACAAATGCATTTTTGCATAAACAAAAATGCATAAACAATTTTTGATTATGCATTGTTGCATGGAATCTCATAAAACGTTGTTGCAACTCATGTGACTATTTTTTTTTTAATTTTTTTTACTAATGTTTAATAGGAAATGATAATAAGAACATTTGTATACAGGTTTGCTTTCCTAAAAATTCCAAGGAAATGAAGCTGGAGCTTTCCCTCATCCTTTGAAGTTGGGCTCTCAGAGCTACTGTTGAGAATGTTTGACTAATATGCACAAAACTAAAATGATATTTGTTTACATACAATGCAGGATGCCACCAACAGACACCAGAGACTATCTATACACCCAAATGCTGGGAGGACTATGACTATAAAAGAATCATATGTTGATTCTACCATGCATTTTTACACCATCTTATTCCTACGTGGTTGCTAGAAACCGATTCCAGCATCCAATAATCCATTGCTGCTTCCCACTCTATGCAAGTTTCGGCAGTTTATATGTGGTTTAGTTACACTGTGGTAAAAGGAGGAGCAGCCTGCATCCTCCAAGTTCCTTCTCCGCCATTAGGAGCGACTCAAGACATAATGACTTCTCTGGTGAGCATGACTATGGATTACCTGCAAAAGATGGAACCAGCGTGTAAGATCATGGCAGAAACAGCTTGACATCATGAATGGACAAAGAGACAGTAAAATGCAAATTGGAATCAGAAAATAACTAAAATAGACAACGCTGATGGACAGAGTGAGAGAGATTATCCCAATTACTATTAAATAAATTGTACCTCTAGAATGCAAAGTAAATAATTTGCAAGGCTAGATCTGAAGCCCGCCACTCAAGTAGCAGTCCCACTGCTCTTAGTCCTGCTGCAATCTAAGGATACCTGAGAATACATTATAAGGTCCAACTATAATACATAACAGGGAAAAGAAGATAACAGGTCCAGGACAATGTACAAGTACTTATTTATACCTCAGATGGCTCTACTAACCTTGATCAACCCCTCACCCAGTTGTTTGGTCAGAACCGCTACCTTGCATGAACTGAGGAGTAAGAATAAACTGTGGTTGCGCTGGAACAGGTGTTGCCATACCTGAGACAACAATGAAACTTAGCTCATCAGGTCTACCTGACTATTGTAAAACAAATAAACTATAAGGCAAGATTGAAGGTTCTCAAAGCAGATGCCTCCTAGAGTTAATCAGGAAATTACAAGACTAATTGATGCTTCTTACATCAGATAAGACAGGAAACTTTTGATTAAATGGACGAGATGTAAAGGCCAATACATCAGTTAAGCAGGGTGCTCAATTGGTGGGCAGCATTATAAAAATATATAATATACATGTATACAGTACAATATATATATATATATATATATAGACATATACCTGCAGGATATGGTGCTTGAATGGTGGCCATTTGAGAAGTTGTGATTGCATTAGCACTGCCTCCACCAAATTGCACTAGTTGATGACTTGGCATTGCATATCCTTGTACTGCTGTGTAACCGTGGCCACTAGGAACAGTTTGACCCAATTGTCCATAAGGGTAGATAGCTGTGTTAATTGTTCCAGGAACTCCATATATCTGAAGGTACTGCTGTGCTGCATAAGGGTTGTAAACACCCTGTCCAACTGGGGTAAGTTAGTATTACATGGAAGCAGTATTAATTGTACAAAAAAAGGAAGAATGGTTGCCATTTCACTTTTGGAAAGCCATTGACCTGTGGGTAGACGTACTCAGGACCATATGTTGCATATCTGCACAGATTAACAGAATGTTGGAAATTTAAAGAAGAAAATAAAGGCTTTAGAACAAGGAGTTCAATCTGAGAATCCCTATGGGGTTGTTTCATAAAGAAAAACACACAAGACCTCTTGTTATTGAAATGGCCAGGTTTTCAAGATAAGAATGGTATGCTAATTTGCTCCTATGCTATGAATGAGCCAACCCAAGAATGCCAGAATATTAATCTGTAAAATTGCAAGCCTAATTGATTGACATTTAAGTCCTCCCTCTCACCCCACTATTTCCTTTTCTTTTCAGTCATTATCTTGCCTGTTTAGATAATCATTGAACTGGGGCAATTATCCTCTGCAACTACCACTTTTTCCATTCCTGCAATACCAATCACACCATGTCACTTGACTGTAATTTGGATTGATGAATCCAACATTCTAGGATAAAGACTAAATATCCTTGGTCAACTAACTCCTCTCAGATGTTGCATGCCGTGATTGGTATGAGGTTCCACAGATGAGGAGAATGATAATAAAGGATGGAAGAGAAAGTAGTTCCAAAGGAAATATACCCAATACATCTTAGTGATCACCAATCTTTTCACCGTAGATCCAGTTACTGCCCACATTTATGGGCACACAGATCATATCAAGAGTAATCAATTACAAAATATTTATGCTATGGGTACCACTCATCCTTGGCAAAAACAAGTGCATCTGCACCTGGCAATGTGTGCATTAATACTACAAACATGCATGTTGAAACCACACTACAGCCAAAGTTTTTTTTTTTTTTTGGTATTAACCTCCCGGTATCTAATAATCATATTGGATTCCAATTAATTTGGAATGAAGCCGTGTTGGACCCCATAAGGGAGAAACTCTCCCAGTGGCTGTTTCTCCATTCACAAGACTCAAACTCGAGATCTTGTTTAACGGAAACTGAGTTCCTTTCATTCGAACCAACAGGTCGTTGGTACTACAGCCAAAGGATTAAACCAAGAAAGATTACACAATAACTAGCCTAGAGAACGGTATGGATGGAATTTTACCCAAGTTGATGAAGACAAAACATGTTTCATTACTGAAATTAACTTTTCATTCTCTTAATTCCAAACGGAAGATCCACAGGAACTTGAAAGATTTCAGAAAAAGAAAAAAGTAGGTAGATTCTAGTTATTGTGCAATATTTTCTTAGTTTAATAATTTGGCTGGTGACCTTTCAAAGTTAATCACAGGCACACTCATGTCGGAGAAATCTAACAAATAGTCTATTTTTAAGCACTAAACAAATCTGGATTTGATTCTCAGACCAACCAGGCTGACAAGAAACAAGGTAATGGAATGATTAGGAATCATATGCTTTAGAAAGCAGAACTTACCCATAAGGAGGGTACATAACACCTTGTTGGTAGCTATAAGAAAGTGGTTGCTGGTAGCCAAAATTTCCAAAATAATTCCCTCGGCCAGCTTGAACACCACCAATGTAAGGAGAAGGTGGTCTAAAACGGCCTTAAAGAAACAAAAAGAGAGATGCTCATGATTTCAGCAGGATAAGTTTTTATAGATAATCAACAGGTAAGAAATGAGCAACAGACGAATAAAAAGTAGTATAATGTTTTGATCATGATTTTGCTTAAATACTATTTTGCTAAAATTATGGAATCACCAACAAAATGAACCTTGTTAGTTTACACTAACCAGACAAATTAGAGATGATACCGTAAGGCACCGGAGGCCGAGGTCGTCCAAGTGAGGCCAAATTACAATTTGCACGCCTGCCGTCAATAACTGGAGCTGCATCAGCACAGGCTCTCCTAGCAGCCTCTGGGTCCCGGAAAGTCACCTACACCCTCCATGCAAATATAAGAAGAATCCAAGTCATTCTCGAGTCAATGAAAGCTCATACTGCCTTTGCATTCACACCATTTTTCTATTATTCAGACACTAATCTCTTGACTGGACAACCATTCCTACCAACATCTAGAAAGACTTCCTAATCACAATGTGCCAAGTGCGGAAATCTCGAACTAGGCATGGTTCAATCTAATTCATTAACAATAAGTTTAGAATTTCATCGTGCACATTGGCAATTCTATTAATCTAGTGATAATAAAAAATTAGGTTATCATAAGAAGTATATGATATTCGATAAACAAAGTCTAAGCCTGAAAAACAATAAATACTCACAAAACCATAGCCTTTGGATCGGCCGGTGTTCTTGTCAGTAATTACAACGGCCTCGAGAATCTCACCGAACTGCTCAAAATAACGGCGCATGGTCTCGCTCTGTGTCTCCCAGGCAAGGCCCCCAACAAAAACCTTGGTGTAAGTAGTATCACCAAAAGGGGAATTCATGTACTGAAACCCGGAACTAGAACTGGATCCAGAGCTCGGTCCCGGTTGATACGCCATGAAAGAAAGAAACAAGAATCCCAATCCAATACAGTGAACCCGATTCAAATCCAGCGAAAAAGGGGTATAAGGGTAGGAAGATTCTCGAAATTGGAGACAAATCAAATGATACTAAAGTTGACAACACATATAAACATCGTTTTTAAACACAAAAACCCCAGAAAAACCCTAAAAATTGAACGAAATATACCCAGAATCCAATTGGAATTTAAGGGAATCAAGAAACAGGGTAGGCTAATTTTAACTAGCAAACAAAGAAAAAGAAAAGATCGTCGACATAAATCATCATAATGAAAAAAAAAAAAAAAGGGAAAAAGAAAAAGAAGAAGAAGAAGAAAAAGAAACCCTAGATGGGCCAAGAGGGTGGTGAAGTCGGTGGTGGGATTGGATGGAGCATAGACATCGAGGTTTGGGCTTTGAATTGGGCTAATCAGAAACAGAGAAAGCGAAACTGTACAAGGGAAGGAAGGTAGGAAGGAAGGAGAAAGAGAAGAACTTTCCTTTTTTCCCTTTTATGATTGACGATGGAAGGGAGGAGGAGGGCCAGAAGAAGGCGTCATGATTCGCGCACACACAGATTGAAGAAACAAAGGGAAAAAAAGCAGGACGTCCTTTTGTCTTCGATTCTTCTCAAACAAAGCAAGACAGCTTGGGGAGGGTGCGGTTGCGGGACCCACCGGCCACCCTCCTAATCCCCTCTTCTCTTCCAGAAAATCAAAAAATCAGTCACACACTGTTCCCTGATCCTCTTCTGTTTCATGGAACCCCCTTAATCTTACCTGCTTAATCAGTAAGTAAAGTTTCGAACTTGCAAATGATTTCCATTGAGGAAAAGAGATTAATTGGTGGGTAAATAAGTAAATTAAAAAAAAAGAAATGAGAAATGGATAAAGCAGCCGATGTGTCCACGTAAAGTCAAGAAAGGGACGGCCCCTTGCAATGGATGATGCTGTACCTTCATCAATCAACATTCATCATTTCCTTTTTTTTTTTCTTTTCCTCTCTTTCGTTTTAAACTCTTGTTTTTACAAGTATTTTCTCAGCTCTTACCAGCACCATTTCACCTGTTCCAGATTGGTTCGAGACCAGACAAGGTCAACCAGACACAAAGATTGCTCTGTTTCATGTTCTAGAGCTTCCAAGCTCCCTTAGACTGTACGTGGATTCTTTTATATATGCAAGCAAATACTTATTATTAGCCTAGTGAGTCTTACCGTTAATAAAAGAAATCTCAAGTAATGATTTTTTTTGTATATATAATAGAATAGATTTCTCGTTACTCAAGCTCTTAACTCACCTGTCTCAAAGTTCGAATCTTGAATTTTACTAGTTGAGACGACCAGCAGGCATCCAATTGTTGATTAGGTATAAAATTCTAATTGGCTCGTAGCATATGTAAAGCGATATTTTGTGACATGAAAACTGTCAATGACTCAAACACAAGGGTCGCATTCAATTGATTGGTATAACCAGTGGCTGGGGTTGGGTCTACTAGGGGTGAGGGGGTCCAATGCACACCTGTTTTAAGGGCCAAGCAATGTTGAATAAATTCGAGGAGGGACCACGAAACGAAGGTAACAACAAAGCAATTTGAAAACTACTTCCAAAAAAACAGAGCATGTCTCGGTTTTTGTCTCCTTGATGATGCTTTGTTCCTTCTTAAAACCAAACCTTTTCCCTCAGAAAACATCTATAAGTTTTAATCGCTTACCAAATCTGTGTTTAGTTAAATATTTGGACGGAAAACAAGAGTCTTTTCTAAGGATTTCATTGGTTAAATCAACATGTATGCATTTTGATTTTTGCTTCTAGATTGTTGACATATAAAGAAGATTTCTATTTGGAAATGTGGCCCCCAGAAAACATGATAATAATGACTGATGTTTCTCTTTGCTTTACAGCTAGTTTTTGTACTTCAAGGTCGAGGCACCAATCTCTTCATAGTTTTTGATAGAATCAACGAGGGTTTCTTCTAATGGCCAATAACTCCAACCCAATTTCTGCAGTTTCTCTGAACTCAGCTTGACCTCTGGCACCTCCTCACGGAAACTGCCATGGCATAACAAAAGAGTCCTTAATTATTTCAATAAATATGCTGCAGGTGTTTGATCTTTGAACAGTAGGGATCTAGATTGTTGCTTCCTTTTTTCTTTTTTTTAACCTTTTTGGGTAGTTGCAATAAGGATACATGCTTTTCAACTTTAACACCAAATCCTGTGTCTTAATACCATGAGATGAACATACATATCTTCCTTCTGCTTCCGCCTTCTCGTATATAATCAATACTGCTTCAGCTGTATCACGAACATCTACAAAATGACGAAATCCACTGTCTGCTGCTTCCATTCCATCTGTTTTCCAAATTTCCATGGTAAGCATGCACAATTCATAAGAGAATATTGCAGGTTCATACAAGAAAAATTGAGCAAAAAATGTTACAAAACTATTTGCATTTTAAGCTTCATTTTCATAGAGAACTTTCAGTGCCAATTCAAGAACAGACTTCCTCTGTGTAAACATCACAGTCGGTTTGTAAGACTTTTCAAGTTTCAACTCATGAGTTCTATTCTATCCTAGTAGCTTCTAATCATGATGAATAAAGCTTTTCAACAATGGATAATTAATAACTAATCTGTGATGTTTGAAACTGACATATCAATCATTAGATAATGGATGTGAGGATGAATAGCTAAAGAATCAGGAAAACCTTTCAAGAACTTGAGTAAGTATAAGCTACTAGTGTTCAGAGTAGGTTGCAGCATTGGTCCGAGGACAATGGATGGGCAAATTGTTACTATGTTGAGTTTGCTTGTCCTTGCATACTCCCAAGCTTCACTTTCTGCTAATGTTTTGGACATGCAATACCAATTCTAGCATTTAAATGGGGAATAAAGAAGGAAAAGGAAAGGGTTTAGCACCAATCACTTGGCCTGCAAATTAGAACTTCTACCGAAACAAAAGTTTGTTCAAATTTGGTTAGTGAGTATCTGTACCTTAGTTGCTTTGCAAAATTCCAGATCAGACCAACATTCTTCATCCATGACTCTATCACGTGGCCAGTTTGGATTTAGAAAAATGGCACCCAAAGATGACACAACAACAATCTTCTTGATTTTTGACTTTAAACATGCGTCCAGTACATTTAGTGTGCCAATCACAGCTGGTTGCATTAGTTCCACCTACACCATTTGCAAGCTTAGGCCTTCTCAGAAAAGGAAGAATAAATTGAAGAATCAAAGATAACCCAGATGATAAGATTTTGAAGAGAGGGATAAAGACTTGCCTCATAATTCTCTACAATAAGAGATGGAGGTACAGGGCTGGCAACATGGAAAACACCAGCACACCCGGAAATGGCATCAGAGAGACTTACAGTATCCAGCAAGTCTGCCTTGAAGAGTTGCAAACCTTCTGAAGCATTCTCCAATTTCTTCAGATGCATGTTCTTAATGTCATCTGGTAAAAATTTTAAATAGTTCATGACTTCTTAGAAAATGAAGAAGAAAATGTACAAATATCCAGAAGGCATTCAATAATAATAATAATAATAATAGAGTCCCTGATTCATACATCAAAACATAATCCTATGATTGAAATACCTTATTCAACCATATGCAATGGACCATCAGAAGGGAAAGGAATCTGCAAAGAGAAAACATGAGAATTACCAGGGTCTCTAACAGTTCCATGGACCTTGTAACCTTTTGAAAGGAGAAGCTTCACAACCCATGATGCCAAGTACCCTCCTGCACCGGTCACACATACTCTTCCTTTCTCCTCCAACTTCTGATTTGTAGATTTATAGTCCTATAGCTGCCTCCTTGCCGACATCATTACATGCAAACAGGACAAACAAGTCTACTTGATTCCTTCAGCCTTAACTTCTGTCTTCTACAATCGACGCTGTCTGATCTTCACATGAGCATACTGATTATTTTAACGCAACCTCAGGGTCTCAGGCTAGCAAACAAGTATAAACAAGACAAAAATATTTCTTGGAGAGATAACAGAACAGTCGAGCACATTATTGATGTCCAAACAATCAAAATAAGAGCCTGTTATTTTCTGTTCATTTAGAGCTTTTAACATGGAACAGGAGAGAAAACACTCACGTCTTGAAATTCTATTTTTGGCATTGAGGAGCAATTCTCACGGGCTTTAAATAAATCTACTTTGAACATACTCTGTAACATGTATTGCTGCTGCCTCTCATGAGGGGCAGAATAAAATATAGCAGGATGACCTACTCTGAATTTTGAGGGAAAAATTCATCAAGTTGTGATATTTGATAATTAAGAAAAATAAAGGGTTTTTCTTATCTATGTCTTGGATTTAATTGTTCCATGAATTGCCATGATTTAGTACAGTAGGCTAGGCTAGAATTGTTCAAATCACAGAGGACGTTCAAGATACAATTACAAGCAGCAATTTAGTTTCTGTTCACCATCCTCCTTATTAGTCCAACTCCAAGGGTGAAAACCGCTAGTATTCATTCTAGTACTGATGATTCCTCTAACACAAGATTCCAGCATTCTTATAACTCTCAATAGAATCAACTAGTGTTTCTTCCAGGGGCCAATATCGCCAACCAAGCGTCTGCAACTTCTCTATACTCAGAATTGCACCGTCTTCACCTTCAGTAAAGCTGCCAATATGGAGACCAGAATTTAAAGTGTTAAAATGAGTGGAAAGATACTCATGTCGTTAGAGATATACAGACGATCTAAAATTCCTCAATTTAATAATTAATACTACTACTCAAAGTCAAATCATACAAAATGAGGCTTACCTTTCAGGGTAATTGTAGTTAGGATACAAAGTCCTCAATTTATCAACCAGATTATGCATTCTGAATCTGTGAGCTGTACATATGTATCTGCCTTCAGCCTCAGGCTTCTCATATGCAAGAAGCAATGCCTCAGCTACATCACGAACATCTACTATATTCCGGAGTTTGTTTTCTAAGGTTTCATAACCCTCTGAATGCAAATATCAGAAGAAGATACCAGATAAAAGTGAGAATACTATAGCCTTGAATGGTCCTGAAAGAACATGTTCAAGCTTGAAAGGAAAAACCAGTACCATATGTTTAGACCTAACTAACGTGGCCTAAATATCTACAATCAATTAAAGACATAAAGACCAAAACTACATTCCAATTAAATTCTGCAAACCTACCAGTCAGCACTAAACGTAAGCCACAACTGCAGTAAGACAGTATACTGAAGATCCATAGGGAAAATACCATCCTCTCAAGTTAAAAGATTTCAAGCTTAAAATTTTATCATAAACTAGTACTTCTCTTATGTGTATCCCTTTGATGCCTCCCCTTCTCCCCAACAAGGCTCCACAAAGGAAATTCAAAAAAGAAGAAGAAAGAATTGGCCTCAGAATAGGTTTTATAAATTAACAATGAACCTGTCATAACTAAATGTGGAAGAAGATGACAGAAGCAAGTACCTGTTAAAACCTTAATGAGATGTTTGCTACTTGCATTGATGGTGGGCTGTAGCAGTGGCCCCCAAATGGTGGTAGGACAAACAGTTACAACATCAAGGCCAGTTCTTTTAGCAAACTCCAAAGCCTCACTCTCTGCTTGTCTTTGAGACATAATACCAGTTCTGGGACAAACATATTCAGAGTAAAAAGTAAAGACATCTATTTTTAAGTAGCTTTACAGGTGTAACATAATCGACCTTTCCTTTTCCAGTTACTAACCTTTGTTGTTCTGCAGTATTCCTTATCAGACCAACAAGCCTCATCCTTGATTTGACCCTCTGGCAATCTAGGGTTAAATGAAACAGCAGCTTCCGAGGACACAACTACAACTCGCTTGACTTTTGCATCAAGACATGCTTTAAGCACATTGAGAGTGCCCTTTACAGCTGGTTCTATCAGTTCCACCTAACAAGAGTTACACAAGCATATTAAAGTGTACAGACCACTAATCCTATCCAATATGTTAGGTAGAAGTCAAAACTTTGATGACTAGATGCTACTCAATGACATACTTGAATCAAAATGATTTCATTTTTTCATCTACTTTCTACTATTTCTTTAATCAAGACTGTGAGATTACTAAACTTGAATTCACAGTAAGGGCATATACTTGCCTCAGGATTTGGAACAGTGGTGGAGGGCACAGGAGAGGCAACATGGAAGACACCATCGCAGCCTTCAATTGCGGAACAAAGAGAATCATAATCCAATAAGTCTGCCTTCAAAAGTTTGAGGTTCTCAGATGCTTTCTCAAGTTTATTGAGATGGGCATATTTTTCATCTCCTGTAGAAATCATGAAGCATAATTCAAAATAAAAGAGATCATTTTCCCTCAAGAGTCATAGACTTTAGAACTCCGGATAAATGAAATTCAACAAAACTGAAAAGCAGAGACTGCTCCAATCAGCAGAAACTCTGTTGCTTTTGTGCCTTAATAACATGCTAAGTAAGGTTACCTAGTTGTCGGACCGTGCCACCGACGGCGTAGTCCTTGGAGAGAAGAAGCTTGACGACCCAAGAAGCAAGGAACCCTCCAGCACCTGTTACACAAACTCTTCCATTCACCGTTGCCATCTCAGTCTAGCAGTTTAGCATATCCGAGAGCTCTTCAGAATTTTCTTGACTGATGTTTCGAGAAAGTCTACTATATCCCGGGCATACAAGCTGATGTGGTGTCCCGGTTCAATAGAAAAAAAGACACGAAATCACATTTTGAGTAAATGATGTTCAAGTCATCACATGCAACAGAGAAGTATTAACACCGTTAACATTATCTTCTCTGCTTCTCCTTCTCTCTGCATCTTCCTTTCTCAACTGCCTCGATCAAAACAGCAATAACCATATAGTGTGAGAAAGAAAAACAAAACAAAACAAACAAACAAAAAGAAAGGTTAAAGAAAGAGAGAGAGAACAATAACTTATGAATACGCGTTTTTGGTCAGATGGCGATAAACCGAATAATGCGATTCAACTAAAACCAAAGTTCCCAGTGCCGAGGCCTACTTTTTTTTCTTCTTTTCTGTTGTCACCTCACCTAGTCGTCTTATTGAATGTAAAGAAATTATTGTTCGGATTAAGAGATTTTTTTTTCTACTAACTTTTTATCATTCATCAATCTAAAATCGAATCGTGTTATATTTTATTTGAGTAAAACTTTCTTAAAATTTGTTTTTTTATTTATAAGATTTGAACACAAAATCTTATTTAACAGAATTTGAATTTCTTTCACTCAAATCAACAGATAGTTAATATTATTTGAATTAAGAGAAGTTGAATTTAAATCATAACAATATTTGAGGGAGTTTTGCTTAAACTTCTAAATGAAAATACCATTTTTTTAATCTTCAAATGAAAATACTTTTATCCCTTGGGATGAGGTTGTTTTTCTTTTTTTTTTCTTTTTTCTTTTTTTTTACACAATAAAAAACAATTATTTATCATCTCTTATTCTATTTTACTCTTTTGTTATACCACTTAAATTTAAATTTTTTTATTTTTAATAAAAAAATTACCACTAAATTATTTAAATAATTATTGTTGTTACCTTGACGAAAGTTTAAATTTGTGTAATTTGATTTTTTACATCATTCCTCAAAATTTAAACTATTTATCATATTCTATTAAAAAGTTATAACCACTATTATCATATTATAATTTTAAATTTTGCAATATATAAAGCTTTGAGTTTGGCTTTAAATAAAAAATTTTAAATTAGTGCCAACTCAATTAATTTTTAAAATTTCATTAAAATCTTATCTTTTAAAAGGCAATGGTATAGAAAAAGCTTTTGATATAATTTTTATATGACATTAAATAAATAAATAAATATATTTAATATCATAAATCTTAAGTGGAAAAAAAAATTATTTTTAAATCATTTTCATTTTTTAAATTCATTTAGAAACCAAAACAACATATAAAAAAAAGTAGACCTATTGAAGAAAAAGGGGAAATATGTTCCCATGTTAGGGTACTTTTATTCAAATGACAGAGTACTCTGTTTTTAAACATTCAGCCAGCACAGCGGATGTTCAAGACAAATTTACAGGCAGCGATAGACCTGTCCACCTCCTCTTCATTTTTGACAAAGATAAGACTCCAGAGAATCACTCATCACTATGCCTAATCCAAGAATCCAGCTTTCTTGTAGCTTTCTATGGAATCAACAAGGGTTTCTTCCAGGAGGCGATAACGCCAGCCAAGTCTCTGCAACTTCTCTGAACTCAGGATTTCATCTTCTGCCTCAGTGAAGCTGGCAATGTA